CCTGACAATAGTTGTTGTGAAATTCTTTTTCAATTTTTTCGTATTCCTTTTGATGTTGGCACTTAATGGTATCACTCTTGACAAATATTCTGAAGAAATCACGGTCTCGGTATTTGATCTTTGAGAAGATCCCTTTGAGAGAAGTTCTGGGGGAGCCGGTGGGTTCACTCTTGATTTTAATAAAAAGATTAACAATGGCTTTTGCAGTTCTTTCACATTGATTGAGCTCTTCACAGAGCTTTAGGATTTTTTCTTGTTCGTTAGGTGGTGTGGCTTCCCTGATGTCAGTACTGGGAGGATTGTTAGTCTGTTATGCTGCTAGTAGCTGATTGGTCTCATCGGCCCAGGATGTTGGGAGAGAATCCAGGGTTTCAATTGATTGGCTAGGGGAGGGATGATCATCAATTTCCATATCTGCACTAGTGTTAGGCAAAGTAGGTGTGGGCAAATTGTTTTGGGCTAAATTGTGTGAGGTGCATGCATCTGCATGTGGGCTAGATTGATCTGCGTTGTGGTCAGGAGTAATTGCATGAAGTGTTTCAGGTGAACAATCAGCTTGCATATCATTGTCGTCGCTCATTGCCTCATTTGGAGCAGAAGTGTTTGGAGGGGGTTTGGGTGTTTCGGTTTTTTGTTTGAGAAGAAAAGTATTGTCGATATTTGAGAAAATAATGTCAAGTCTATTCCAAGGAATATGGAGTTTATAGTTTAAGTGTCTTTTCATAATTTCTTTCATTATTTCAGTTCTGTCTTCGTCAGTAATTTCAAAGATATTTTGAAAATCAAGAAAAGCATTGAGGGAGTCTGCAGGCAAGGGGCTCAAGTATGAAATATTAACTAATGTAATTGGTGTAGAAAGTCTGGTTCTCTGATAGGTTTCGAAAGAGGCGTTAATTACTTCGGGTGTTTCAGGACCTTCAGTAGTGGAGCGCACTGGTGTAATCCATGATTGAGGAGTGTTGCCAAGCTTCGGAAGTTTAAAGGAGGAGTTTGGTGAAGAAACAATAATTTTATTGGTTTTTGTATTCTTGTAAATTATGATAGCTTCTGGTTTTTGGATATCAGTAATAAGAACATCCAAGAGGATGTGCTCATGGTTACTAGGCTGGACCTTGGAGGAAGAGGTTCCTCCAGGGTCTCTAAAGGTTTTTTAAATAAAAATTTATTTAAAATTATATTAAATATATTAAATAATAATAATAATTTTATAATAAAAAAATTATTTTTAATTCAACAATTATATTATTATTTTAAATAATTATTATATATTCAATATTTCTAATATGTAAATACTTATTTAATGACAATTTATACTAGTTGTAGAAAGTTACGATAAAATAAATATAATTAATTTATTACTTATATAAAAATTATTAATAAAATAACTAGAAAAAAATTATTTCAATAAAAATCTTATATTTAATATTTATTTTATAATATTAAAAAAACAGTCTTAAAGAAATTATTAATAATATTATAAAAACAATAAACTTTAGTATTTTGATTTTAAATGTCAATAGAAATTAGAACTTTATTAAGATTAAAAAAATATTTTTTTTATATATGTTGATTTTATCTAGTATAAAAAATAAATATATAAATAAATAAATATATATATATTGTAATATAGAAAGTGGTAATATAAATGTTACCAACATCAGTTGCCAAAACATGTCATGCATCATAATTAAAACAAGTTACAACAAAACAATAGCTAGTACATATAAAAAATGGAAGGCTTTGATAGAAAATATCACATAAGTAAAGAAAAGACTGGATGAAGTCATATACTATAACTTTGCTTGGTAAAATTAATTAATTATACAGTATAAAATGATGACAAAAACAATAATATGTTATATAATAGCTTTGTTATGATTTTATTACTTTATTTTATTTTTTTATTTTTACTTTTCTTTTTTTGTCTATTTTATTTTTTTATTATAAATACTTATATAATTACTGAATTTAATGTATAAAAGAACCATGGTTGTATCAAAAGAAAAGGGAGACCATTGAAAAGAAAATTAATAAAAATTGTTTTTCAATTAGGACTCCTAATGATATCACTTTGATACCAGTTCGATACCAGTTCGATACTTAATTTACTATAAATTTATATGAGTAAGTCACAATCCATATATTAAATTTATTATAGATTGGTATTATTTCGATATCACTTTGGTATTGGTTCGATATTTTTCGAAGCCCTATTTTCAAACATAATCAAATCTGCTTTACCTATAATAAAAACATTTATTTTCATTATATGAATTCTAGCTTTCATTAGTAATAGACTTGCTAATACCAGTAACAATATATTTATATTAAACTTAATCTTTAAAAATATATATATTTAATTAATATAAAAAATAAAAACAAAATAAAAAATATATATATTCTATAATTTTATACTTTAATTCATTATATTTAATAATATATTCTATTGTTAGATGCAAAATTACTTCATATATATGTTTAATAATTATTCAAAAATATATTTTAAATTTGTAAATTATTAGAAGTAAATTAAATATTTTTTGAAACTTTTAAATTATTAGATATAGTATCAATCTTTTAAATTATAGATATAGTATAAATCTTTTAAATTATTGGATATAGTATAAATCTTATAATATAATTAAGACTATATATATAGTGAAATTAAATTTAAACATTTTTCAAAAATTATATTATAATAGAATTACAAATAATATATAGTAATTAATTAAAAAATATATTTAATTTAAAATTATATTGTTTATCAAATTTTTAAAGTAATATAGAAATATATATAGTTAAGATTAAAATTACAATAATTAATACGTATATCAAAATAATTTTTTTTATAAATTTTTTTTATATTTTAAAAATTATCAAAAAAACTATTTATTATTTTGTATTTAAAATATGATTTTTTAAAAAATTCAATTTTTTATTTAAATTTAATAAAATATATATTTTTTTTATAATAAAATATAATTTAAAAAAGTTTAAAAAATTAATTTGAAAATTCTAATAAAATTCAAATTAATAAAATTTTTATTTAAGTTAATATATTAAGTTTTTTATTATATTATTATATATTATTATTATATTTTTTAAATATTGCCAATTTCAAAAAAAAAAAAAATTAAATAATTATATTTTGGTTTTTGATTTTTTTTTGATTTTGTTGTATTTTGTAATTTATATTTATTAAAAATTTTAATTAACTGAAATTTAAATATAAATTTTTTAATATAGTTAGTAAAATAATTAAAATTAAAATAATTATTAATAAAAAATTTTAGTAATTTTTTTTTATAAAAATTTTTTATGATAATAATAATTCAAACTAATTAAGTTAAGTTATTAAAATCTTATAGCAAATTTTATAATAATTTTTTTTACTTTTGTTGTATTACTATTTATATAACTAAAATATTTGAAAATATATTAAAACATTTTAAAATATTTTAAAATTCTATAAGATATTTGAAAATATTCAAAATCTTCAAAAACATATAAAACATTTCAAAGTACAATATTTTTGTTTATTTTATTATTATTAATTCCATTTATTATATTTCTATTTATTTGAGAATCAAAATAATTTTATCAAGTATAAATATTCATCAAGTATATATAATAATATTTGTTATATTATTATGGAAGAACCAATAGTGTTTATATATTATTATTATTATATATATACTGTATATATATGATAATATACAGTATATCCGGGTATGTTTAAAATAATGTTAAAATAAAAAATTCAAAATAATCCATACAAAAAAAAAAAGTGATTATGTAATTCAATTAAAAATATTTATGAAAAAAAATTTTTTTTTTTTTGAATAACACGCATCAATAGATCTAATTCTAATATTAGATGTGATGTCGGTGACTCATCGACTTCTCCTTTAAGATCGAGCGTTAAAAAAAAAGTGGTGCAATATTTCGATGTTCAGAATCACATTATTCATGGGGAAGTTTCATTCGCACATCTCCAATACAGTATAGTGTAAATTGGTTAAAGTAGAATAAAAAAAATTCGATCACAAATGTGCAGTATATTCCCATATAAAAAACCAATTCGGAAGCAACTCGTAAACTAAATGGCATACCACCCCTGGTTTATCGAAAGTTGCCGTGACACAAATCACGCATGAGAGCTTTCGTAAACATTAACCAATTCAAGGGAGACGTTCAACATATCGCCAAATCCCTCTATACCCTCAAAGGAAGTTGCACGTTAATTTGGCAATACATCTATATATATATATTTCCCTGCATTATGCATGGCTAGTGAATCGTCTAAATTTGGTGATATTGATCTGGTTATTGCAGTGTTGTTATTATTCATACGTATGTGGATACGCTCATGCGTATCTCTTACATATAAAGATTTCGATATGTATCAGGGCTTATTGCGTGTACGTATAAGCTACGTACGTACACTAACTACCTCAAGGACCACGTTTTTGGCCATTGACTTTTTTCCTTTGGTTTAATACTTCCTTTTACTCTTTTACCAAACTCGGATTATCGGGGAAATTATTTTTTGTTTTATTGGGTTTGTATTCAAGAATTTTACCTTTCGTTTTGTCTCGACCGGACTTTTTTCTATGTATTTGCTAATAGAAAATACTTTCAACACAGAATTTCTTGGGCATCTTCTTTTCCAACATACCTTTGTACATAACATCGAATTTAATTATAGAAAATATACCAAAGGGTGTATATATTGCATGGTAAGCGCGCATTCATTGATGACGAAGCAGTATCTGCATCAATTTTTGTGAGACGATTGAGTTGAGTTTTTTTTTAAAATTCCGTAGTAATATGTAATGCCGCAAAACAATTCAGTTCTCTTTCAAGAAAAAAGTTGGAATAGAAATAAACAAATAAATTTATTCACAGAAGGTAAGACGAAATTCTCATCTCGAATTCTAGAATTTCCTGATGGTTAAATCGTGATTGTTATTTTCTGTACTTTGACTTGTAGACTAAATATGGCTTCTCGTTTGTACACGGATTGTTTCGTTAAAATATTTGAATTTCTCCGGGGGGATAGCACATCACTACATGCTGCAGCCTTGGTGAACAAGTCTTGGTGTCAACATGCCGTTCCCATCATGTGGGAAAACACATTGGACGAAAAAATACTAATGAGTAGAAATGGAAAACAAAAAGGATCTGGGATCATTGACACCTATGTTTCATGTCTCTCGCAAGAGTCACGAAATGCGCTGAAGATGGAGAAGGTCGTCTTACCAACAGTTACAAGACGCCCAACCTTCCCGTATGCCTCCTATTTACGAAGCTTGGATTTGAAGTGCTTTTATATCGCTGTACAATCTTGGATTGAAAATTGCAGCGTATTAAGGAAAAGGGGGCTTTCCGGCGATCAGATTCGACTAATTATTCAAGAATTATTACAACAAATTTTTACTCTCTCTCCACGAATGCATGCACTTAAGATAAATGTTGACATCATTGGAGCCATTGTCGCTGATATACTTCATCGTGTACCTAAGGCAAATAAATGTTTGGCTCATCTAAAGGAGTTCATGTACTTTGCCGAGCATCCTACGATGGAGATGCTTTTTTCAAAAATTGCGCAATCCACTGGCCAAATCGAACAACTAGACCTATCCGTGTACGATCGTACGGCTGAATTGATTAACATGCTTAGGGCACAAAAAAATTTAAAAGTTTTGATCATCACGAACAGAACTAATTCCCCCTCGGGATTCAAATTTTGGGTCGACACGGATGCCGGAACCGTAATTTCGGAAAAAGCACGAACCGTTACATATCTAGAAATTCAAAAAATACACTTTCCTTTTTATGATCTTGGGAGATTTGAGAATCTCATTAATCTGAACTTATTATATAGCGGGTCCTATAGTTTCCAAGATTGGGCGCCTTTAGCAGATGTACATCTGAGAAATCTCGAAAAGATCTCTTACCAAAATCGGCATTCATTATATTTAGATATTTTCGGTAAATTCGTGGAGAACTCTGGAAAGAACTTGACCCATATCACGATCCGTTGCTGCACAATATGTGATCCTGATAAGTCACATATTCTCATCACATCAATTGCGGATTATTGTCCAAATCTTTTGCACTTTGGGGGGCCGATCGGAGCGAATAATGCATCTGAGCTTGGTCAACTACTTAATGCATGCTCGCATATTGAGTCTTTGGAGCTTCATCCGTCAATAGATAACTGCAAATCAGTAGCATCACCGATCGACTTCAACCCCATATTTCGAAAAATTGCGCTTAAACAACCTTGGGAATTGAGAGAGTTATCGGTCATTCATGGTTGGAAGTTTTCTGCCGAGGTTCTTGAAAATTTCATAGAAAGTAGACAGAGAATTTCAAAAAAGGTTAGCGTATTTTGGAATGAATGCGAGATCACGGGAAACCTCGACAAGATTTGTCAAAAATATCAGAAAAATGGAATCTTGGACAAATATGGGAAGATCAAAGCTAACAAGTACTGAGATACATGTTTACGTATAGATATTTTCTCTCTAATTTTATTTATTTATTTATAAAAGATAAAAAATAAGAAAGAAAGAAAAAAGACTTCTTTTATTTATCATATTTATTGCCCTTGTACTTTTTAAATAAACTCGTCTCGTCTTTAGAGTTTCGTGAGGTTCAGAAATTCATTTTCTATCCAGCGATCTTCCTAGCTTTCGACTATTGACTAGTCCGAATTCAAAATATTAAAAACATTTGCAGCAGTTCTTTTAGTTGCCAATCTTGTGTTAACAGTTTATTTTTATTTTTTTTTATGAAAATTGTTAAACAAGATATACTTACTGTATGTATAATTTGTCAATATTTACCGTAGCATGTGTGTTTTTTTTTTTTTTTTTATAATAAACACCCTCTTTTAAAACTATAAAAAACTAGTACTGTAGTTATTTATTCAAGTATTTTTCGACGTAATTCTCCTTGAAAGGTCACTTTGATACGCGTTTGTAAAAATGTGCGTAAAATAGGATGATGCATCGTCATAATTAAAGTTTAAGATTGATTCTTGCAAATTATTAAATAACAATATATCATTCCGAAGAATGTTTGTCATGTGAGCTATTCTACAAAAAAAAAAACAAAAAAACACGAAAACTTTTACATCTACATATTACAATAAATTATCACCACTCCAATACGTATTTCCAAAATTAGCATACATATTCATCACCATGTGTGAGAGATTAACAGTCACCAATGTCTGCTAAGGGAATTCCTTTTTTCTTACATATCTCCAAGGCTTTTGGTTGACCTTGCAATGCCGCTAGCCTCAAAAATCGTATCCCCCTTTCCATATCCTGTTCCACACCTAATCCATTATAATATACATTCCCAATATTGTAAATAGCAGTGGTATTTCCGTTACCATTATCCGCCGATTTCTGAAAATATTCAATCGCTTCCTTGATATTACGCTGGACACCCTCACCATACCATAAACAATGTCCGTAACGTAATTGTGCATCGACTATTCCCATGTCGGCTGCTTCTTTGAATAGTGATGCTGCCTTTTCTAATCTTTTTTGCTTGGCCTCTTTGTCATTAGGATTATCGATAGGGCACAAATCATAATAAAGGTAATATCCCATCCAATATCTATTTATGAAGCTTGTGAATATTCATTGGATATCAGAAAGAAATAAAACATTATTAAAAAACTTACCTTGCAGTCATGTCACCAAATTCCTCTGCGTGTACCTTAAATGCTTCCCAAACCTTTTTTTTGTCGCCATCTTTCTTTTTATGCTCGGCAATTGCCTCTTTGACGCTCATGGTAACATCTATTCCAAGATCGTCATCTATTCCCGGCAATTCATCTTCTGAAGGAATGTGATTTGGAGATGGCCGGGGGGATCTTTGTAATAGATTTTTCTGGTGGAGACTATATAAGACCATGAATATATCTTTAAGTGCCGGACGTGCATTTGGGCTATCCTGCATTGCTATGACATGAAAATAAACTGTGTAAATTATTATTATAAATATCATAAGCGAAGGAACTTAAAAAATTCACCTTGATATGAAATTTTCGACCATTCTGGTGGTACATTATTACTGAAGACAGGTCGTTTCTTCTGCTTTACCACGAAATCACGAATTACCAATAAATCCATTTCTTCTGCAAAAGGAATCTGACCTTCTGCGATCTCCCATAAGAGCATACCAAAGCTAATTCACGTTGATCAAATTAATTCTCCAAGAGAAAAAAAAACAATGATTTTCGAAAAATGTTCCCTATAAATACATACCTATAAATTTCGCACTTTGTGTTGTACTTATTCTTGTGATCCTTCAACTTTTCAGGCGCCATCCATCGCACAGTATCAATCGTTGGCCGAACATCTTTTGTGGGGTCATTTGCCCCACGACTTAAATTAAAATTTGCAATTTTGGCTTGCCTGTATTCCGTAATCAGAATATTCTCCGAACGAATATCGTGATGTAATATGGAAACGGCGTGTAAAAAAGTTAGTCCACGGGCAATGTCCACTGCAAACTGTGATTTTTGATTCCAATCCATAGGATTTACTCGATAATATTCTTGCAAATTACCCAGCTCACACCACTCGGTCACCATATACAAGGCATTGGCGTCTTGCGCAATGCCGTAGAATTTCAGTATATATGTAGACTCCTTGAGTTT